GGAGTCCCTGTCTACTCCTCTGTTATCCCACTTTTTTAGTTCTTTTTCCAGTGTCCTAGTTTCTGTTTCCTCTTCCATCCCTGCAAACCCAGTTCAAAATGCAAAAGAGTTTTTCACTCCACTCTACAGGGGGGAGGAAGCAAGGAATTAACAAATTAGAGAGTTGTGTATTACAAAATGGATTTCAACAAGAAATGTAAAGTACTACACTTGAGCAAAACAGCAACAACTCCAAAAATGCAGAAATACAAGTTGGATGACAACTGGCTTGACAGCAGTAGCTATGAAAGGGATCTTGGAGTTTTAAAAGGTAAAGGTTTCCCCTTGACATTAAGTCTAGTCGTGCCCGACTCTGCGGGGTGGAGAGGGTTTCTCAACCTTCCTAATGCTGCGACCCCTTAAGACAGTTCCTCATGTTGTGGTGACCCTCAACCATAAAATTATTTTAATTGCTACTTCATAACTGTCATTTTGCTACTGCTATGAATCGTCATATACATATCTGATATGCAGGATGTATTTTCATTCACTGGATCAAATTTGGAACAAATATCTGATATGCCCAAATTTGAATACTGGTGGGGTTGGGCTGGGATTGATATTGTCATTTGGGATTTGTAGTTGCTAGGATTTATAGTTCACCTAAAATTGAGTTTTGGAGTTGTAGTTCACCTAAATCCAGAGAGCACTGTGGACTCAAACAATGTTGGATCTGAACCAAACTTGGCACAAATACTCAATATGCCCAAATGTGAACACTGGTGGAGTTTGGGGAAAATAGACCTTGACAGCTGGGAGTTGTAGTTGCTGTGATTGATAGTTCACCTACAAATAAAGAGCATTCTGAACCCCACCAGCAATAGAATTCGGCTTAACTTCCCACACAGAACCCCCATGACCAACAGAAAATAGTTTTCTGATGGTCTTTGGTGATCCCTCTGACACCCCCTTGTGACCCCCCCCCCAAGGGTTGAGAAACACTGCCATAAACTGAACATGGATCAGCAGTGTGATACAGTAGCTAAAAATCCAATGTGCTTCTAGGCAGTATCAATAAAAGCATTGCATCTAGATCAAGGGAAGTAATAGCACCAGTCTATTCTGCCATGGTCAGATCTCTCCTGGAATACTGTGTCCAGCACTGGGCACTACAATTCAAGAAGGGTATTAATGAAATAGAATGTGTCCGGAGAAGGGCAACCAAAATGGACAAAAGTCTGGAAGCTAAGTTGTTGTAGGTTTTTCGGGCTGAATGGCCATATTCTAGAAGCATTATCTCCTGATGTTTCATCTGCATCTCCTGACATTTCACCTGCATCAGAGGTTGTGAGGTTTGTTGGAATTAGAAAAAATGGGTTTATATATCTGTGGAAGGTCCAGGGTTGGAGAAAGAACTCTTGTTTGTTGGAGCTAGGTGTGAATCTTTCAATTGGCCACCTTGCTTAGCATTTGATGGCCAGACAGTTTTTAAGATGTGGCTTGTTATTGCCTGGGAAAATCCTTTATTGGGAGGTGATTAGGTGTTCCTAATTGTTTCTTGTCTGGAGTTTGAGTTTTGTTTTTTATTTACTGTTATAATTTTAGAGTTTTTTAGTACTGGTAGCCAGACAAGAGTTCTTTCTCCCTCCCTGGACCTTCCACAGATATATAAACACAATGTTCCTAGTTTCCAACAAACCTCACAACCTCTGAGGATGCCTGCCACAAATGCAGGCAAAACGTCAGGAGATAATGCTTCTAGAACATGGCCAAACCTACAACAACCCAATGATTCCGGCCATGAAATCCTTCGACAATACCTGTGAAAACAGTTTAGGGAGCTGGGTATGTTATTTAGCCTGAATAAGAGGAGGTTAAAAATTGGTTTAAATATTTTAAAGGACCCCCATTTCTGTCTTCTCAACTCAGATGTGTATTTTCCTTCGGAGTCTGCATGTGTCCTCGTCCTAGCTCCGTCTTGCACCTGGAAAAAGCCAGCCCTGCCATTAGATAAAAGGAAGCAGATACCAAATGTAGGGAGCAGATACCAAATGTAGGGAGTGAAGGGGAGACATTCTGAGGTCAGAGCCGTTCATGCTACGTAGAATACTTGTGCCCAGAACAAGTGGCACACACTGTCCTAATGCCAATGCTGGTTCAATTGCCAGTCAGTTTAGCTTGTAAACGTAGAAGTGGGGCGGGGGCGGGGGTGATATTGTTCTCCTTACTTCAAGAAGCAAATGCTGGACTTGAGCCTGTAACGGGCAGCAGTGAAGTAGAAAAGTATACCAGTGCTATCACTGACATAGAAATTCCTCATCTTTTTTTAATTCAAAGGATCCTGTGACTGTCCTGGCAGGTCAAGGACATTGCAAACAGACTATTTGTCTGTGTTTCTTGGTTGATTTATTGATCTTCCCATTCTGTTATCAAAAAGACTGCATTTTTCTTTTATTTGGATGACCAGTGATCTGAACTTTTGGGTGGATGCATGGGTGTGCTTCACCTTGCCATGGCAGAATAAGTCAGGTAGGCACGCACACACATACACACACCCTTGCATGGCCATAGTTTGTTGGCATTCCTGTACTGAATGCAGAGTCAGCTATTTGCTATTTTCCTGAACATTTGGGCTAAAATAAAGAAACACGTCCTTTCTTCCTCTTGTTCATTGGTGCTGTCAACATACAAGGGGAAAATAAGAATATGATTTCTTTTCTTCATTTTTTTTACTTAGAGCTACAGGTAGCTTTCAAAATGTTTGTGCTTTGTCTCAGGCCTCATCTACACTGCCATATAAAATCCAGATTATCTGTTTTGAACCGGATTATATGGCAGTGTTGACTCATACACTCCAGTTCAAAAAATGATGTGGATTATCCGATTTGAAAATCTGAATGATTTGGCAGTGTAGAAAGGGCTTATGTGTTTCTTTAGGCACCAATGAGATAGCTGTGGAAATCCTGCAGCAAGGAGGGCATGAAAACAACAGTTTCTGCCAGTGCCAGCTTGACTAGTCCTGGCAGAATGAAGCAGTTACTCTAGGCCAGGGGTCCTCAAACTTTTCAAACAGTCCCTCAAACTGTTAGAGGGCCGGATTATAATTTGAAAAATGCATTAATGAATTCCTATGCACATTGCACATATCTTATTTGTAGTGCAAAAAACATTTAAAAACAATACAATGATTAAAACGAAGAACAATTTTAACAAATATAAACTAATTAGTATGTCAATGGGAAGTGTGGGCTTGCTTTTGGCTGATGAGATAGGGTTGCTGTTGTTGTTGTTGTTGTTGTTGTTGTGTGCTTTCAAGTCATTTCAGACTTAGTGAGGGCCGTATCTGGCCCTCAGGCCTTAATTTGAGGACCCCTGTTCTAGACAGTCATTTCTGAGTTGTTATGGAAGGTAAGAAAATTGATCATTATTCAATTTGTTATTATATGCTCTGCTCAACTTACTGGATGGAAGTGTTGCAGCGGCAGGCGCCCCCCTGCCCGCCATGGCATCTTTGGGGGGCTTCTCCTTCCCAGAATCCCCCTGCATGATGGGAAGGTTTTCTGTCACTCGTCTAGCTGGCCAATCAGTAGCGAGCTCCGGCCCGCCCTAACTCGGAGGCACCCTATTTAAAGCTGCCAAAGACCGTTCACCAGTAGCATTCCTTCTAATGTCCCATCCCACTTACCCTCAACATGGGCTGTACTGTTTGAAAGTTTTTTGTTAGTGCTTTGTTCCTTTGTCACAACTTGAAGGCATGTAGTGTGGGCCTTCGATCTGGCTTGCTTAGTTGTCCTCCCCACCCATTGGAAGGGGAGAGCATCTGGTGGTTTCCAGGGGGTGTGGTGGTAATGGTGTCCCGTTATTGTGCTAGTCAGTATCAGCAGCAGACCCTATCATGGTTAAGTGGTATAAGTCTACGTCAGCCTGCCTGATCCCTGATCCAGGACCCATGTGTGGCGGCCAACTCTGTTTCTCAGCTGTAATCAATAAATAAGTTGTGGCCTTTTGTTATCCCAACACTGTGTGTGTGTGTTGTCTTTTGGTCACTGAGGGAAGTATTAGTTGCCAATACCCATGCAATGGGTTTCTATAGCATTGATTCAATGGCACTGGTAGTTAAAGTGATGCCAAATACAGTGTGGATGCACCCCAACTCTGTATTTGTTTTGGTATCTAGTTCTTAGGGGGCAATGGGAATTTAGGGGGAAGGTTTAGGGACCTTTTTGTCCAAATATTTTGGGCTTCATTTCCCAGAATGAGACAATTATAAGGAGTTGTGATAAAAGACATCTGGAGAAATAAAGTTAGTAAGTTCTGACATGGGAGGAAATGGTGAGGATTACCCCAACCACTCCTAATGCATTCACAAGCACTCTAATCTCCAGGCATCACTTTTCCCATACTGGTAACCTCTGAACATGTCTTCTGATTTTTCCTTAACTACAGGGTAATGTAAAATAAATAAAATAAATCACCCCAGGTTATTTTGGAAGCAAGCTTTTTAAACATGAACACATTCAGAACCCATTTGATTTCCTACTAGTCTACCTCTCATTCCGAGAATTCAGCCCTACCCTCTTTGACCTTTGGTTATCTAAGGCCAAAACAAAAAGTGAAATAGAAAGATAAGAAGTTGAGTCAGGCAGTTAGTCCACAACCACAAAATGGGAGGAGCGATTTGTGATGTGGAGTGATTTGTGGTGTGGTTTTGTAGAGCTGAGTCCTACTCACATTTTGGATTCTAAGCTAGTGAGCAGAGAGAAAGAAAAGAGAAAGAAAAATAATGTTATTACAGAATAATTTTGAAAATTTAACAGTAGCAATAGGGTAGCCATTAGATTTGTCACCCCAAAAATTCCATTTTCTTTTGCCTCCCAAATATAACAGAAACCACCTTTCTATTTTTAGGACAATTTCTCACTTTTCTCCACCTCTTTACCATCACTCCTTGTTTCACACAGGATATTGAGAAAGGGTGGGGGAAACAAAGCTCAATTCGCAATGGTATTTTTGTCTTCTAGGAGGTGCTAAATTTGTGTTGTCAGAGGCCATCAGCATCAGGCTTGACACAGGATGGGAAGCAAAAATACTAAACCGTAAGTTAACCAATTGATTTTAGATAATAAAAGAGACGAATCTTACAGCAGAGTTACCAGACCAAAAAGCAAACCCTTGCCATATTCTGATGTCAGTTGGCCACAGGCATTCTGGTTTTCATCTGTGAAATGTTAAGAAGGTATGTGAAGCAATGAGTATTAGAACAATTGATTGGGAGGTCTGAGTTTAGTGGTTGGGTTGATATAATTACACTGTAAATCCCATCAGCCCTAACAAGCATAGCCAGTGTTAAGGATTGTAGAACAACAACCTCTGAGAGCCACAAGGATATCATCCATGATGTGACTTCTTCTCCTCTCCTGTCCTAGAGTGAGAAAGTAAATGGAGGTTAGGATCCAAAAGAGTAATTCAATTATAGTAGTAATTTTATTGATTAGCCCTTAGGCCATATCACAATACCAAGCAAAACATATCACAATGTCAAACAAAACAATAAGGCTTGATAAGACTTGATTGCACACTATGTAATAAGTTAAAGTAAGACACTTATAACAATACAGTAAATAAATATGATAAGATATACTAAAACTGATAAAACTGAGTTTATACATCACATTTCCTTATCACCCCTACAATTCAATTGGAATTGCAACCGAATAAACCTCCTGCATACAGTTGGATTGTAATTTGAATTGTGATCTATAGCCACATATGAAATTCTCTGTTGCTTTGCCTATTTCAGAGATGTTGAATGGTGGGTCCTTTGGATGGTGGTGGGCTCCAGCTCCCATCACCCAAATCATTGCTTGGGTTTTCTGAAGTCGATGGGGAATAGAATCCATCAACATCTGGAGGCTTTCCTTTTTCTAACTTGGTTTTCTCTGTATTCTTTGCAGACCAGATACACCAGTCATCCCTGCAAAGACATCTTCAGGAAGTATGATCCAGAAATTGAAGGAAGATATCATGTGTTCCATCTGTATGGAAACCTTTGAAGACCCTGTCTCCATTGACTGTGGACACAATTTCTGCAGAGGATGTTTGTCTGCCTACTGGAGTGGATACTCTTGCCATGGATACCCTTGTCCCGAATGCCGTTATCCCTGCAGCCCTGAGAGAATAAAATCTGACATACGGCTGAAGAGCTTGGTGGAAAAAATTGGACAGATGCCTTTACTGAAGCTGGTTGACAAAGAATCAAGGAGAGCAGATGTGGAGGTACAGAACCCACCACACACGGTGTCCAAATGGGAGAGCAATAGCATCATTTAATCCGCTGCTTGGAAACCCATTGTATTGGATCCACGCATGGCCATACTCTTGCTTTTTAATTATAACTACTGGTCTGCCTAAATAAACAACCAGCAGTTATTTTGTTTACTTCTTCTCTGTGTTGATTATCCTCAGATTTAAAAGTTACAAAGATGACTCAGACTTTAGAAAAATTAACATTTTGCACTATGACTACCAGAATCCATTGGCCAGGCACTTTTAATCCAAAAAAAAAGCATTTTTTTCTAGGGTTGACCAAATCTATCTAAGACAGTGATTCTCAACCTGTGGGTCCACAGATGTTTTGGCCTACAGCTCCTAGAAATCCCAGCCAGTTTACCAGCTGTTAGGATTTCTGGGAGTTAAAGTCCAAAACATCTGGGGATTCACAGGTTGAGAACCACTGACCTAGGTAGTATAGGACTGGTTCTAATCAAACAGAGTTCTTTCTTTTCCAGGAGGTTTCAACAACTCCATTGCAGTTGAGGCAACCAGTGCAGCTTGTGGGTTTGGATGAGAATGGAGACATTTGCCTGGATGAAGAGGCCTTGAGCCATTGCTTGGAGCAGGAGCAGGTGAAGGATGCTCATGTTTGCCTGGTTTCCATTCTGGGAGAGCAGCGCCGTGGCAAATCCTTCTTGCTGAATTTTCTCCTCAGACGCTTCCAAAACCTGGTGGGTATTATAACATAAATGTGTAGTTCATTAGAGTTTGTCTTCATTAACTGAACACTATTGGATTTACATTTGAAAAGAGGCCAGATTCTAAACTGTGTGCCTACCAGATGGGCCTATGCATACTTGGTCATAGTTGGAAAGATGTATCTTTGTAAGGATGGGTAAGAATCTGAGAGGCAGAATAGATGATCTGGGCAGGAAACAAATATGGGTAATGCATGTCCCTGAAATGATAATGATAGTGTTTATGAAAATTTCACATCTTTTGTTGGCACTAATTACTATACCCACAACTTACTCAGCTGCAAAGTATAGTAAAACTGGAATGGACTTCTGAAAACAGAAATATTTTTTCATGCCTTGTCCAAACATCTCCCCTATCCTGGCCTGTACAGTTGTTCTTGTTTTTACACTGGGTCTTTGTCCTCTACACTTGTTGGCAGGTGACTGAAGATGATTCATGGATGGGTCAAGAAAATGAGCCACTGACTGGATTTGATTGGCGCCCTGGAGCTGCCAGCACAACTAAAGGGGTGTGGATATGGAATCAGCCATTTTGGGTGCCCAGCGAACATGGAAAGGTAACAACGTTGGAACTGAGGTGCTCACCTTATTTGGAAGTGGGAAGAAGGTAGCTTAGACTCACTGATAGATCTCACTGAAGTAAATCAGCAAGAATTTCTGGTGGCCAGTGCTTACTGACTGGAACAATAAAATGGCTCACCTTCCTCATAATATTGATCAAAACTGCAGGAGATCAAGACATAGTTGTTGTTAACTGCCATCAAGTTGACTTTGACTTGAGGGTAACTAATCAAACCCTATAAATGACAAATCTCCAAGAGATGCTAATATTAAGAGCCCTGCTCTGGTTTTGTAAATTCAGGGCTGTGGCTTCATAGATTGTAATCAATCCACTTATATTGTGGTCTTCCTCTTTCTCTACCTTCCTTCAACTTCCCACCTTTGACCATGGTATATCAAGCTTTATTGCCCTTTAGTTTAAACTTCTAAGGAATTCTCCAAGGTGTTGAACTTTATTTGGATCTATTTCACTGCAGCACTGACATGGAAGCTGCTAACAAGCTCCATTCTCTTCAAGGATTCATAACGGATGTTTGATCTCCAAATTCTTTAATTCAGCATTGATGTCATTTGCAGCTGGTTTTAGTCAGCAAATCTTGAGATTTTTATTAAACCCTTTTCCGGTCCAACTTATATTCGAGACTGCATCTCTTCTATGAACCGGCACGTGCACTAAGGGAGGCTCTCCTTTCAGTCTGACCTCCATCTCAAGTGCGGTTGGTGGGGACGAGAGAGAGGACCTTCTCAGTGGTGGCCTCCTGACTTTAAAATGCCCTCCTGAGATATTAGGCTAGCCCCCACTCTCCAAGCCTTCCTTATACAACTAAAGACATGGCTGTTTCAACAAGCCTTTGACCATGTTTAGAATCTCTTAATGAACATATTTGAGGAACTAGAGACTTTATGAGGCTGATATTGATGGCAGTTGTTTTATACCTGCAGTTATTGTTGCATTTTATTGATCTTAACCAGGAGAATTGTGATGTTTATGTTGGTTCTTATTGCTTTTGTGGAATTGTCTTTGCACTTTTTGTATTTTGCTTGTTTGCACCTTGAATGCTTTGTGAGCCTCCCCAAGTCCCTCCTCGATGGTGGGGGGGGGGGGTTATAAAATTATCATTATTATTATTATTATTATTATTATTATTATTATTATTCACTGAAACCAGGCAAGTTTTCCCTAGCCTTCACACCTCAGTCCAGAAATAGATGAATTGTAACCTGTTTGCCAAAGACATCCTTTTGTCTGTTAGACAGTTTTGGAATTCATGACATTTCTCCTTCTCCATCCACTCCTCAACTCCCTCCAAGGTAGCTGTGTTCTTGATAGACACTGAGGGTTCCATGGATTTGGAGAGAAGCAAGGAAGCTGGCATCAAACTCTCAGCTTTCTCCATGCTGCTCAGCTCATACCAGGTGGGTTCTTGACAAACTCCATTTGGCTTTATTCTTCTTTATACTACATCAAAACACACACTACGCCTCTATATATTTTACTTCTAATACCTTTCTTGTCTGTTCTGTATTATTTCCTAGATATTGAATTTGGTCACCATGATGAAGGATACAGACCTGGAATACCTGGATGTAAGTTGTTAAGGTTAGGACAAGAGTGCTGAACACATGGAGCTCTAAAGTTTTTGGATTTTGAGTCTCATAATCCCAAAATTGGAATTTAGCTCCTGTAATTGATGGTGCTTAGTTGGACAGTATGAAGTGGAAATCCTAAATATTTGCCTCCCGACTTTTCTCCTGTGTATTTGAGGTAGAAGAAATGGCTCTCTTTCATATTTTTCCTCACAACAAATTTGTGAGGGATGGTTTGACTGAGAGAGAGTTTGTGAGTGGATCACACAATAGTAGCAAGTATCATAAGATAAAAGTCATCAGTGCATCCAGTCTCCTACCCAGTGTCACTGTGTCTGAATGGGGAGAAGTTTTCAAGGATCAGACCAAGGTTTAGGCTGAGTGAAACAATTCCCTTCACTTCCCAGACTTACTTTCCGCCTCTTTTGCCCACCCAGATGTTCGTGTATGTAGCCAAGGAAGTGGGACGTACTTTCAAGTTAAACCCTACTCAGGTAACAAGCGACAACTGTTCGGGTTCCTTCTCTTTCCAGTCACGTTATGTTCTGCTTTTCTCCTCCCACGATCACCATCCTGTCCAGGCCTTCTATCTTGCCAAGCCATCAAAAAGCCCTTTTGTTTCCTGAACCCCAGTCTCTGCTCGCTGGCTGACTTTTCCAGCTCTTTACTCCTCTGCCTGGCACCCACATTGCTCTTTCTTCGTTCTCCTTCCCCCTCTTTCTTTCTTTTGCACAGATGTCAATAAAGGTACTCTACATCCTCTGTTTGTTCCTGCATTATTGATCTCTCTACATGCATCTTTAATTGCTAGGAAAGGATTATAAACCCTGGATGCTCCATTTTATGAAAAAAGAAAGGAGAGAGTGCTAAAGTGGTTGTGTGCTGCATGCACAGGTTAACTAGCCTGTTTGGAAAATTGAACTCTGAAATATCAAGAGAGCCAAATATTACATAATTCCACTAAGCAAGCATGTTGGCTGTACATGTCCGGATTTTCATGTTGTCAGGTATAATTGGCAAGTATGTAAATGGGCCCTAAGACCAAAGAAGCATATGGAGAATCAGGGCATTATGAAAGCAAATTACAGTTTCTTAGAACCCTGCAGAGTGTCTTGTCTCTTTGTTGCAGCAACTCGATGTCCTGGTGCGTGATTGGTTCTTTCCACCCAAATATGGACTGCAAGAGGGCCATAAATACCTTCAAGAGGTCAGAGAGGTAAGATGGATAACTGTAACATTGGCCAGTAATCCTATTGCAGATGTGTACCTTTGAAAGCAGACTTACAATTGCAGGAATTAGAACTGGCCAGTTCCAGTAAAGGGCTGTTGTTACACTCCTGTGTAGATGAGTTGTCAAAATATTCAATGCAAAGATGAAATGAAATACTGTGGGAGCAATGTGCTAGATTGTCTGAACATTGAGAGACTAGAAGAACAATGGTTCTAATGTTTTCTTACCCTCCAACTATCGTCAGTCCTGACAGTCCTAATGAATTCTCTGTAATCTAAATAGTCCAGTTTCTCTCCCTCCTTCTAATGTTACCCTTTTGTCCACAGCTTACTTCAGTTGTTTCAGACTTACTTCAAGGTGCCCAAGTAGTTTGAACTGAATTGACTCAGCAGACAGAAGAGAAAATGACAAGGCGTAGGCAAGCCCAGGCCTGCGGGCTGGACAAGTCCCCTTGTTCTCTTCCCTCTGGCTCTCGTCTGCCTTGGACCTCCTCTCAGTATGCAGATGCAGCAGCCCAACCTGTAACCAGACTGAGGGGAGGGCCAAGGGCTGCTTTCTTTCATACAAGGGTTGAATAAAAAGTAATGCTTCCACCTTCATAACCTCAACAGATGGCAATACTGGTATGCAGCAGGTACTGGCTTGTTCAGTAGATTCTCCTCTACAGTTCCATTTTGGTGGGGAGCCTTAGCATTGAACTTGTATTGTTAAAGTGCGAAGTATGGAACCCTGCGCAGAAGGTCATTCAATACAACGTAAGCAATGTGCAATCATTGAATTCTTGACAGCAGAAGGTGTCACCCCAAAGGAGATTAATCAGAGAATCAAGCTGTTTATGGTGATTGTGTTGATGTGAGCACTGTGTATTGTTGGGCGAGTAAGTTTAAAGATATTGGGGTGAGACCTTCTGCTGTCAAGAATTCAATGACTGCACGTTGCTTAAGTAGCATTGACCGACCGTCTGCACAGAGTTCCAGTCTTTGCACTTTAACAACACAACCATTCAATGCTAAGGCTTCCCACCAAAATGGAACTGTAGAGGAGAGTCTACTGAACAAGCCAGTACCTGCTGCATACCAGTACTGCCATCTGTTGAGGAGTTGTGAAAGTGGAGGCATTACTTTTCATTCAACCCTCATATCTTGTGTGTCCTTCCTCATTCATATTTTCTGTCATCTTGATCAGACAGCAATGTTCATTACTTAGTCACATGTGCCCTGTTTTTCATCTGTAAAATGTTGAGTATGTAGTGGTTCTAAAATGGCTGGATCTAATTCTTTCTCTTTATACCCCTTGAACAACAGAAGCTTCAATGTCAGCCAGGGAAGCACCCACATGCCTTGGGGGCCCTCGTGAATGTCAGTACACGCTGTTACCTGATGCCCTTCCCAGGCAAAAAATCAGTGATAGGATCTGGGGGCACTCTTGCAGGTTAGAACCGTTCCATAATTCCTTCTCAATGCCTTCCTCCCTTGTGTGGATGTATAGGGTGGTATGCCTTTGAATCAACTGTAATCTATATCAACCTTATGAATTGGGTTATTGTAGGTTTTTCGGGCTATATGGCTATGTTCTAGAAGCATTCTCTCCTCACATTTCACCTGCATCTATGGGAAGCATCTTCACAACTTCTGAGGATGCTTGCCATAGATGCAGGCGAAACGTCAGGAAAGAATGCTTCTAGAACATGGCCATACAGCCCGAAAAACCTACACCGACCCAGTGATTTCGGCCATGAAAGCCTTTGACAATACTTAACCTTATGAATTCTTCAGGTTTTCTTGAGCAAGGAGTATTGGTTGTGCCTATTGCACCTGATATTCATTGTCTGTCTCCCTTCTAAGCCAGGGCTCTACTTAGCTTCCAAGATTAGACAGGAGCTTGTGCTTTTAGGATATGTAGTTCTTGCACATTATTTCTTATGTGGGAGACCACCAATGAATACTGGGTGCCGGGTTAAACTTTTCATAGGACAGACCTGGCAAAACCACTTCTGAGTATTAATTGCCTAAGAAAACCCTATGAAATGTATGGCATTACCACAGTTTCAACAAGTGACTCCAAGGGACATATATAAACACATATTATTTAGGCATGGGCAATCCATGGTTCTAAATGCTTCTAAAGTACTTACAAAACTAGGGGTGCTGGTGCTTTGCTTCTACAGTGTTGCTAAAGTTGTGGTGGTGAAAATTTCTGAACTCTAATAAAACTTTAATATTTAATATTTGCTATTTATAACAAAATTTTGAAAATTATTATGGTGTCCCTACTTTGCGGATTTTCACTTATTGCGGGTGGTCCTGGAACGGAATCCCCGCTATAAGTGAGGGAACACTGTACTTTAGAACCATTTAGAACAGTGTTTCTCAACCTGTGGGTCCCCAGGTGTTTTGGCCTACAACTCCCAGAAATCCCAGCCAGTTTACCAGCTGTTAGAATTTCTGAAGGCCAAAACATCTGGGGACCCACAGGTTGAGAACCACTGATTTAGAACCATGGATTGCCCATGCCTATATGCATCTACAGAGGCTTTTGCTTCATCCTTCCACTAGATGGAGCTTTGGTTCCATAAAAGTCATGGGAGGCTTTAGCTTAATTATTTCTTAAGTGCAGGTTTCAAAAATGCCTAGAGTTGGATTAATCCATTTGAATTGAGACCATACCTCCTAGAGCTTTTTACCCTTTGGGGGTCTAGGGTATGGAGTTCCCACTTCAACAAATATTAAGACATTCATCTTTTTTTCTGGGTCAGGTGTTCTGCCTTGTTAAGAAGAAAATGTAGTGGGCTTTGAGTCAATTGTTAATATGCTCACATTACAAGTAGATATGTGCAGAAAACGCTGATAGAAAAATGGGTCTATACTACACGCCAGTGGTTATGAAGCTAAGAGAGCAGTAATTTAATTTGGTAGTTTAATCTGCTTTCATAGAATCATAGAATCAAAGAGTTGGAAGAGACCTCATGGGCCATCCAGTCCAACCCCCTGCCAAGAAGCAGGAATATTGCATTCAAATCACCCCTGACAGATGGCCATCCAGCCTCTGTTTAAAAGCCTCCAAAGAAGGAGTCTCCACCACACTCCAGGGCAGAGAGTTCCACTGCTGAACGGCTCTCACAGTCAGGAAGTTTTTCTTCTTGTAGTTTGAAGCCATTGTTTCGCATCCTAGTCTCCAGGGCAGCAGAAAACAAGCTTGCTCCCTCCTCCCTGTGGCTTCCTCTCACATATTTATACATGGCTATCATATCTCCTCTCAGCCTTCTCTTCTTCAGGCTAAACATGCCCAGCTCCTTTAGCCGCTCCTCTATGATCTCCCCCCCTCCCCAGAATGTATCAGGTTAAAAAAAAACCTGATTTACTCATTAATTGGTTAACCAGTTTTTTTAAGCTGACACATTGGGGGGGGGGGGGGAACACACCGGGGGGGGGGGTGGCGAGGGGGGGGGGGGTTTTTGAACCTTTTTTTTTTCAAACAAAAAAAGCCAAAAAAAAACCCCTCCAAAAAAAAGCGTTAAAATAAAATAAAATTTACTGGGTCGCAATGAGAAAGCAACCTTCCCCCCACCCGGTCATTTTTACACATCAGGAGGGCTGTCAAAAGTTTTTATTTTATTTTAATGCTTTCTGGAGTGAAGCAGGGGGTTTAGTGTCCCCATGCCATCCTGAAAGTTTTCAGGATGATATGGGGACACCCACTGGGAAAGTTCAAGTTTTGGAGGAAGGTGTGGTGAGTTAAACCCACTTCAAAGTGGGTTTCTTTAACCTGCTCCAAAGCAGATTTAAGTCTAGCCTGGAAGTGCCCTAAGAGTTTGGCTGTTCCTTACCGCCAAAGCACACAAGATATGTTACAGATTTCACATGTTTCTTTTAAATACCCATGCTGACTACTTTATTGTAAAGCTGGGGTGGGCGTCCCATGTTGATCAGAGGTTTGCAGAGGACATGTTTAACTCACTTCCCTGAGCTGTTTTCCTAGACTTATTGCCCCTCCCTTGAGTATGTTATTAGCTGCAGATGTCATGCAGATGTAAGCATTTTTCAACTAGCACAAAGAGAGTGATTAAGATCTAGAAATGAATTTAAGGAGACCTGCCAAGCAAAGAAGAAAACATTACCAGTCTATTTGTATTTCGATGATTAATTCTTTTCCAATTTGCAACATTATTTTTTAATCTGTTTCTCTTAACGAAATGAGAGATTTTCAGACCTCTGTAAAGAGGACCCCCATCACTCAGATTAGTTGCATTATTGCCAGTGGCCATCAAGGGGAGCAGCTGTACAGGCGATGTTACCTACAGTATACCATTCCTTTGCCTCAACTTTTTGACTATCATATTTTTTCCAGACATGGATGATGATTTTAGGGAATGCCTAAAGGATTATGGGAATGATGTAGCCAGATCAGCAGGAATGCATGTCAAGAGAAATGAAGAAGGGACAGCACTCACAGGTGCAGAGCTTGCATCCAAAATCAAGGTGAGAGGTCCAGAATGAAAGCTGTGACTCAAGGGGGAAAGCCTGGATGTTAACACTTGTTGAATTTCTACCTGTGTCAGTGCTCTTTCAAAACAGAAAAGAGATTATAGAGAAAGAGAAAAGCAGTGGAATTATAAGACATGTTTTGGCAAATACACAGAAAAGTTTGGAAAAACATATTGCCAGTTGTCTTCTGCGCATGATCTGGTGGGCTCCTGTGTCTTTGGCAGTTTCAGTCCCATTAAACAGTCAGGTGAGGCTTTGTGGACCTTGATCTGCCAGATTGGAACAACAATCTTGTGAAGGCACACACACCTATAGGGTCTTCTTGATAAACTGGCAGCTCTTTCTAGTTCAATTTTGCCAGATTGTATGCAGAGCAAAGGAAGTCCAGTGGAAAGATTTGTTGTTTTGTGTGTTTTTTGATTATTCAAAAAAGGGTAGTCTAGAGAAGGGCTACTACACAAACTAAAGCAGCCTCACTCTGTGCACAAAGTAGTGGTAAGATGTTAGAGGACAGCGCTGTGAATTGTACAATCTGCAGTGTACCCACTAATTCAGATCCTTTTCACATTATAGTCGGCCCTCCACATTTGTAGGTTTATAATTTTTGCAGATTTATTTCATATGGCATCTCTAGGAATTTGTGGGTCCTCCAGTGCAACTCTACGGTCAAATATTTGCATGAAGTTGGCCATAGAGTTATGATGGAAGACTAGAGAGAATACCTCTCTGGAAATCCCAGGTCCTCCATCACAATTATATGGTCAACTTTCGGCTGGAGGACCTACAGCTTCCATAAAAGAGTGGCATTTTTTATCTGCAGTTTCCTCACTTTTGCAAGGATTCCATGCTCTAGTCTGTAAAATCCTGCCAGTTGTACAGTCATCTCTCCACACTTGCAGTTTGGACTTTTGTGAATTTGATTATTCATGGATTTAATTTAAAATGTTCTTCCTTGGAATCTCTAGACCCTCCAGTGCAACTCTATGCTCAGCTTCCTTCAACCATGCTGGAGGACCTAGAGATTTCTAGAGAGGACACATCTGTGGCCAATTGACCATAGAATCATGTTAGAAGACCTAGAAAGGTATTCTCTCAGGCAAAAAAAAAAGAAACAAATTCTATGTTCACAGTTTTTTAATTTCACAGTGGTCATATACTCCCAATTCCAGTGAATGTGATGGGCTGACTGCAGTTTCATGAAATCTTCAGAATGCTCTTTCCAAGAACTGCTGTGCTATAGGATTCCATAGGATGTAGCCACAGCAGTGAACATGGTTGTTGAATGGATGTATAGCATGTAAAAGACATCATGCCTGAGTTGGTGGGTGCAGCCCTGTTACCAGTGATGAAACAACTGCAGATCATACTAGGTCACCTTCGGTAATAACACGCATGGCTTGTACCAAAACTTGTTTATTTCCATCTGAAAAGTTGGACCTGCCAGATATTTGCTGGGTGGCTGCAAAAATTTGGGAAACCAGCAGATTATTTGGATCTACTCTCTTCATGTTCAGGCTGAACATGGTCTGGTTGTTCCACATACCTCTTCTGCCAACTAGAATTTGGGAACAATGAACCCTTCCCTCCTTTGTTGGGTTGTGAAGAGGAGGAATAGCATGTTGAGCCTTGTCAAGACCTGGCACACCAACGCAGCTCAGTGGTGTCATTGACTTCTTTCATCATGTCAAGTGCTATGATGAATCTGACAAGGCCTAGCTTACCTCCTTGACTGGAGATCTGCTGCCTAATTCAGATTATTTATGGGACTTGGCAACAATCCCTTACACCTATTTCATTTCTGCTGCATTTGTAGCCCTTGCTTCTTCGATGTGCATGTCCATATGCATATTTATGTGAGAGTGGTGCTTCCCAGATGTTTCATGGTGCTGGTTAATTGGTTGTTGAGTTTCAACTTTTCAGAACTCTTAGGGGGCATTGTTAGGATTAGAAATAAGGATATAGAGGTGTGTTCTTTAAAAGTGAATCAATTGTTTACGAGTTCTGAATATTGTGGAATTTACTGTAGCTGCTGTGTGTCTATGTCTATGGATATTGTGGATGTATAGTCAATAGTACTGTGTAGTCCTGACTGAGCTTGTTTCTGAGTACAGTATGCCCTCTACATTTGCAGATTTGACTTATGTGGATTTGATTATTTGCAAGTTTTATTATTATGTTCTCTAGGGAATTCATCACAAGGAGCTGGAGAAAACAAGAGAAAGTGGGGGAAAGGGTGGACTTTCATGGGGCTCTGTCTTTAAAGAAGATGAAGAATTTACTCACTCCCATCACACTAAGATTGCCTCCTCCAGTTTTTAACTCAATCATCCACTTAATTTCCATCACACTCAATCATCCATTTAATTCCCATCACCTACAGTTGAAGCATTTGTCATGTGAAGGGCACTATGGGTTGCCATTTCTTAAATGTGTAGAAATACTCATTTTACTGTGTGTGATGAAGTCATAGGAATTTTTAAGCATTTTAGTGCAACTCTGTGGTCAGTGTCCAATGGAAGTTGACCATAAAGCCATGTTGGAGGACATAGAGATTCCTAAAAGCGCATTCTCTCAGTTTAATTTTTTTAAAGCCTTGGTTTTCCCACTTTGTAGAGATCTTGCACTTTGTAGAGGGCTAGCTGTGTTTTTGTGGGAGCAGACCATTCATTCCCATCATCAGATGTCTCTTGTGTTTCACCTTTCAGAAGTTTGCATCTGTCATGAAGCAGCACCAGTTTGGCTTCACCTCAGCTACACAGGTAACTATCCCTGTCCCTCCTCTTCACTTTTCACAGGGCACCTGATTATCTCAAATACTTCTTTTTATGGAACCCATCATCACTTGTGATGAATTCGCTTCTCTCTTTGTTACCTAGTAACCTAGCTGAAATCAAGCAGATCTTGGTCTAGATGGGAAACCCTTCTACCTTGAATTCTGTCTTGGAAAGAAAGTGAGATCGAAACATATCACCCATAAAAGGTTAAATTGTGGATGTGGATTGAGTGTACAATGGAGGAGAATACAAGCTTCTGTTAATGCAGAAGAGTCAGTGGATCTGGGTCCATCATACACAGCATGGTGTTGTTTCTTGAGCAGCCTAGGAAGCTAGGTATATTTAGCCTGGAGAAGATAAGATTAAGAGGTGACATAATAGCCATGTTTCAATATTTGAAAGGATATCATATTGAAGATGGAGCAAGCTTATTTGCTACTTCTCCAGAGGCTAGAACACAGAGTAATGAATTCAAACTACAGGAAATTTCACCTAAACTTTGGGAAGAACTTTCTGATGATAAGAACTTTTTGACAGAGGAATATTCTGCCTTGATGTGTGGTGAAATCTCCTTCTTTGAGGTTTTTAAACAGAGGCTAGAGGGCCATCTGTCAGAAATCGTTTAATTTTGCATTTCTGAATGTCATAATAGGATTGAACTGGATGGCTCTTGGAGTTTCTTCCAACTCTATGGGGGTTTTTTTCCTAAAGGGTTAACATGGTACAGGGCTGCTTTACATATCAACTCACATCAACTATCATTTCCCCCCTTTTCTAACATCCTTTGTCATGAGAATTGAGGACCCTTAGGAGCAATGATTATCCCTCATGGACATAGTACCCTTTTCACTTTTCTTCTCTTGCTCTACAGATGGCCATCATTATATACAATCTAGTCACCCTGGAGGCCTTGCGGGAGGAATTTGCAGAGTTCATCAAAAAGCAGGTACAAGCAGAAAGAAGGACCAGATTCAGGGATTCAAATGAAAACCTTGGCAAACAATAGCATGAAGAATTTTGGAGAAAGAAAATAGTTGACATATATAGATTATTGAGGTAGAGCATATTCCGAAGTTAGACACATGTTGGTTGGGGTTTGGGGACCTGTCTGGCTTTTAGCTCTAAAATTTTCAATGTAATTAAGTCAGACTTCCCTAACCAGGTTAGGGAAGTCTGGGTGAATCACATTGGTTAATCATACAACCAACATCCCTACCAGCATGCTTATTTCAGCTGAGAGGATGGTAGAACATGTAGGATTACATCCCAGATCAAGAGATGTTTAAGTTACGCAAATGCAAAACTACAGTGCGCCTCACTTCTAACACACCTTTTAAGATGCTCCCCCCTTCATCAATATGACCATTTACTGACCAGTAGAGAACCAAAAGACAGAAGAGCATTCAGTTATCTTCCTATAGCTAACTCCCCAGAACTTTCCTGGGATCTTCTGTTCCTTGTCTTAGGTGTAGGAACATAGATGGACACTGCTCTGCTGCCATCCTATGTTGTGGTGTCAGTACCTTAAATGGTGTGTAATGGGTGAGTTTGTCTGTTCAACAGATTTGAGGAATTATAACTTCTGTAGTGAACCAAAATGATTTACACAGGGTTAACTTGGTCTTAAACCACTGAAAGTCACTAATAAGATGTCAGTAATACCTTGACATACCTGCAGGATACCAGTTTGCAAAAGATTAACTCAACTATACTGGGAATTAACTTTTGAGGGTGAAATCTAGAATGAAGAAAAGTGGGGGTGAAGTTAGGTTACACTGTATTGTGGTACAACCATAGTGTGGGAAAGAGATTATCTGGAATGGTTGCAGTCTGGCACAGGTCTCTAGAAGGTCAAATGAAATGCTATGAAGCAGAATATTACAGCATTTATCTGAACTTCATTCAGAGGTGAAAACTTGGCCAGGAGTTGCTTTTGACTGAGAGGGGGTGCTATCACAATGCACTGTATATCAGTAACGTCCATGTCCCCTGACTCCCACCACCACCCAGTTTTGTAAACATTCCATATTCATTTCAGGATCAGAGCTCAGCCACCATGGTTACAACCCTACGTGTTACTCCAAAATCAATGGTTCAGCGTCTTCGAAGCAAGCAACAGCAGCTGGTCCAACGCTGTGAAATTTCACTGCAGGGAGATGAACCCGGTCGAACAGATTCCGTATTGCAGTTTGAATCTCACCTGCAGGCTGATGCTAAAGTTTTCCAGGAATGCTACAGCCGTCGTTACAAATCCTATGCCCTCAAAGCTGGTTTGGCCCTTGGAGTGGGTGCTATTGGATTTGCTGGTGGGGCCATTGGGGCTGGTGTGGCAGGAGCCATCCTGGCTGCAGAAGCCATTGTAGTGGGCACTGGTACAGCTGCAACAGTTGCCATTGGGACTGCGGCTGGAGCAGGCACCTTAGGCCTTATTGGAGGAGGTGTGGGAGCAAGTGTAGGCAACAGAATAGGGGTGCGTAGGGTCCAGGAAGCTGAGCATCTGGATAAAAGTGATGCCACGGCTGAAGAACCAGAAGATAATCTGTCAGATGAGACATTCCTTATTGACCGACGGGACACACATTAGAATTGACAGAGGCAGATGTGTGGCTTAGATTTCCTCTGAAGACAGTTGGAAGGTGGTAGGATAACACCATCTGATGTCAATGGGTGATGGGCAAAGCCTGATATGCCATCTTCTGACCCTTGAATTATCGATCTCCCCTTTCCCCAAATGGTTTGGTATGGGATTTATTTATCGTGTCAGGGGCAACCAGATAATTGTATTACATTTCTAATAGAACAAAACAAACAAACAGGATATGGGATAGAAATATGACATGCATTCCATAATTCATACAAAATGTGAATTCGCTGATGATGAGTGAAGGCATATCAAGGTGGCCTTCTAATGCTAGAGCTATATGTTGCCTCTAAAGGTAAATAAGGGAATCTCACTTCCTTTTGTATCACTTTTAGTGTCCTCCTTCTCCAGGACCAGGTAGCCTGGAATGCCACCAGTCCTTTCTCAGGTCCCAGGTCTTTCTTGCCCACATTTACCACCCAGAATGATAAGCAGAGTGCAAGGTTGGATTAAGAAGCTTCCTGCTCAGTCTGCTTTTTAGCAGTGGTTCTTAAACCTGTGGGTTGCCAGATGTTTTGGCCAGAAATCCTAACAGCTGGTAAACTGGCTGGGATTTCTGGGAGTTGTAGGCCAAAACCCTTAAGGACCCACAGGTTGATAATCACTGGCTTATAGTATTGATTGGAAGTATGGAAAAGACCTGATACCACTTGTTTCATTCTGAAGTAGACAATTGTAATAAGGCAAAGCTTTATGAACTCTGCAACCCACTCAAGCTAAGTAAGAATACTGCACTAGTTGATATCTTATTTCATCCCCTGCCAAAAAGGGTAGAAATAAGGAGGATTTTCTTTGTCTCAGGGAATTCAGCTGCACATTTCTCCTTTTAAAGCACAGATCAATAAGTTACCGCCAGTCGTTATATTAATTGATTCAGGACTCTTGTAAATTTAGCCCTTCAGATGTACAGTGTTGAACAAATGAGGGATGCAAATTATATTGGGCGATAGCAAAGGCTGCTGGAAACTTGGCATTGCCTCATGGGAATAAAGCCTCGTCTCAAAAACTCAGGAAAGCTTTTCTTAGTGACCTCATTTGATGTACCCAGATACATAGCAGGATGCAACGTATTCTAGGATAATACAGGCAGTCCCCAAGTTACAAGCAACATAGGTTTGTTCTTAAGTTGAATTTCTATGTAAGTTGGAACAGGTACATTTTTAAGTGTAATTCACACATACATACACACATATATATACATATATATACACACAGCAGTGCATGAACACACACACATATATATACAAGCATTGGTTAGTACAAAGAAGGTTTAATACCTCGGTGATGTTTATGTTGCTGTCTGTGTCCCTGTTCAGAAAATTTCCCCTCACTTTCTGTCTTTGTGATAACTGGGTTTTGAAAAAAATGATTGATTTTGTCATTTGGAAGTTGTAGTTGCTGGTTCACCCACAGTCAAAGAGCATTCTGAACTCCATCAACGATGAAATTGGACCAAACATGGCACACAGAACTCACATAACCAACAGAAAATACTGAAAGGGTTTGGTGGGCATTGGAGTTGTAGTTCACCTATATCCAGAGAGCACTGTGGACTCAAACAATTATGGATCTGGACCAAACTTGGCACAAATACTCAATATGCCCAAATGTGAACACTGGTGGTGTTTGGGGAAAATAGACCTTGACATTTGGGAGTTGTAGTTGCTGGGATTTATAGTTCACCTACAATCAAAGAGCATTCTGAACCCCACTAACAATAGAATTGAGCCAAACTACCCACACAGAACCCCCAACAGAAAATACTGTGTTTTCTGATGGTGTTTGGCGACCCCTCCCCTTGCAAGCCCCCCCCCCCCCCCCGGATCTCGACACCCAGGTTGATATTTCTCACTTCCTGTTGTCTCACACCATTCTTAAATATGAGTTGTTTGTCTGAAATATGTCTGAGATCCCTGCAATATACTCAAGTGCCTTGACTTTTGCAGCTTTTTATGACTTCTATCTGCCTTCCCAGTGTTGCTTGGGTCACCTTTCAGGAAATACTATTATTTATTTCATCTTTCAGTTGTGATTTTTTTTTTGTCTTTACCTCAAGCTGTGTTCACTGTGGTAGGTCTCCACATGAAGGCTTCCAACACCACGCTACCTTCCAAGATCTAAACCCCTTTTATGAGATCATTTAAAAAATCCATATTTTTGGGATCTTAGCCATTCCAGCACTGTATCCTCAGGTGACTTATAGGTGTAATTTCAGTGGAGAAAACCCAGATGTGAAGAAAGTGTAGTCAAAACAAGCCTCTTGGCAGAACACAAGAATGCTGAATAACAACTGGGAAACGGGGGGGGGGGGGGGTACATTCAGTGTACACTTCTATTTCTTTTAGTTTTCCTTTGCACTTTGTACAGTTGTGTTGAACAGCCACATGGTAAAGCACAAAGCAAGCTAAAGTCCAAAAGCACCAGTAAAAGGGATAAGACTGTAGTAAGTGGGGATGGTTTTCAGATTTAAACTCCATTCCGTTACTATAATATTGAGCTCAAAGAATCCCAACTTCAGATAATGGATGTTTATTTCAATGTAGAAACCAAAGATTACACATAGGAGGACTCATAACTTCTGTTTGGCAGGGTATATTGTCATTCACTATATGAACCATAATCACTCTTAACATACCCTCAGTCTTGGGCTCAAACACACTGGAAATATTCTGTTTCTAACCCAAGTAAATTTGGCCATTTTCATTGCAGATTTAAGCTAGTGGGAGAATAGCACATCTGTTCATTCTGTCCAAGTCACTCAGGAAACAGTAGTTTTTAGCAATTATTTAAAATCCTTTATGAGGGGAGTTAATCCATGCTATTGGATGCTTGAGTGGTTTATTGTCCAGATATTGGGAAAGTTGTTATGGGAAACACCTCCCAGACTTCTATAGCTAGCGGCCATATTTACTGGCAGATTCAGGAAGCTGTAGTCCAGAATGTTATACAAGGTGTATTTCTGGTCTGATTCTGAAGTTTATCTCTTTTGCACTCCTATCCCTAATGCCAACAAGATCCTTGAGGCACCCCTCTTCCATCACAACCACCATCACCACTGCTGACATTTCCATTTTCTACTCCCCCACCCCCCAAACAAATTGTTTTACTTGGCTGCATACATCACCAGCCTTATCCTATACAATGCTGTGATCACAGAGTCAACTGAAACAAAGGACTGTTTGGGCATCATATATCCACAACGCCTAACTTTTTCTTCCAGCAGATTATGCAGTGAAAATCCCACCCACTCATAAGAAGAGGGAAATGCACCTTCATATGGAATGCCTTTAAAGCTGGAAAAGAGGCACCTGGGGCCTAAATACTCACAAGGCACTAAATCCCATCTGACTCTGGAAGCTAAGAAGGGACAGTTCTGGTTACTGCTTGGATAGGAGACCTCCAACAAGTGTGGAATTCATAGGGTCACCACAAGTCAAGAAGTGAATTCAAGGCATGTGGACACAAGAAACCACCAGCCTGTCAGAAAGGAGGAGGAGACTAGGGCTCTATCTACACTGTCATATAATGCAGTTTGAAACTGCATTATATGGCAGTGTAAATGGGGCCTATGATACCAGTTCGCTCTCTTGAGATCTCAGGCTATTGGCAACTGACCCCACCCCATCCCACTCACCCCATGATGCTGAATCCTGAGGCTGCAACCTAGGGATAGATATCTTTTTCTCAATTGAGGGCTAAAATCCCGTTGCAGGGGTGGCCATATGTATGAGGAGACAGGAATCAGCCTTCATCATCCTTTGCCTCCTCATTGCATACCTCACTGTACATTGTAAGTAATATTATGTCCTTACTATCACAATTTTCAGCTGATCTAGAGCAGAAAGGGGCATTCAGGAGTGGTTATAGGTTCTGGGGGTAGGCTACATTTGCAAGTAGCTTCCTTGCATTTGGGGTGGGAAATTATCTGAGAATTGGTTTACTTTTAAATTCATTACCTGAGACTTAGCCCTGAAAATGTAAAGTTGGAGGTTACACACAGCCTGTGGGTCTCACTTTCCCCTGCTTCTTGGCAAGGGGTTGGACTGGATGGCCCACGAGGTCTCTTTCAACTCTATGATTCTATGTCTACCCTCTAGGATAGATGGGCAAAATTGGGGGACCTCAAGATATTCTTGGATCACAACTCATCATTGGTCATGCTAGCTTTGTTGTGTGCCTTCAAGTTGTTTCCAATTTATGGTACCCCTAAGATGAACCTATCATGGGTTTTTCTTGGCAAGGTGTGTTCAGAGGCCATGAGTGACTTGAAGGTCACCCAATAGGCTTCCATGTTCAAGCAAGGAGTCAAACTTTGGTCTCTAGACACATTATCTTTCTCTTTACATTGAAGTTAACAAACGTCATCTCTCCAGATGTTCGATTGCAGTTTACTGGTTTGCACTTAAGATGATGGGTGTTCCAATCCAACAACATCTGGAGAGCTGTACTTTGTTTATCCACAGCCTAGGGGAATACTCTACAAATAGCTGCTTGCCACCAATAGCTAAATGAAATCTCTTTCTGCCACATACCCCTTTTATGTTTCCTCCCTGCTGGTGTACTCAGCTGACTTCCATGAAAATTAAGTTTTTCTTTCCAGAGGATCGCACTGATCACTGGTAGATGGTCTGTTGTAGATCTTGATGTATATTTGGGAGAGTTAAACAACTGGAACTTAATTTAAATGCCATACTTTTGATTTTTAAAAAAAAATGTTACCAATTTACCCATCTTAGAGCATCTTCCCAGTTACTGCTGACATGAGGAATGGGAAGAGACTGCACATCATTTTGGTTCTCAAACGCGACGTATCTTCATCTCACTTCTCTTGAGGGAGTAGTAGAACCCCTTCCATTGGAACCAGTTAATGCCGTTAGCATAGGAGAGATGAACCCCACCAAGGTAGAAGCCATTAAGATTGGAAAAATGGCAGCTTTTGAACCACCAAGCACCTGAAGAGAGTGCTGCGCAGTTCTGCAGGTAAAGGTCTTGGTCACGGTCAAAGGTGGAGAACTTCTGGCCGTTGTGATAGGACAGTGAGTCTCCTAGTGAAAGTGCAAACAATGACAGACATAAGAGTTTTATAAAGGCTTCTGGAACAAAATTTTCCCAACATAGGAAAGAGCAAAAATTAGGAGGAAGAAAAAACTATTAGGAAGAAAACTAGGAGGTATGTGGCCAAACATTGGAGTGTCATTAAGATGGCAAACATTTTCAGGACAGGCTGCAGAATTTTGCTTTTGCAAGTGCCCCTAGTGGGAAAAACTCCACCCTTTTGTCTCCTCTCCCCTCCCCACCTCAGTTAATTCAATTCAAACTATTTTTTCACTTTTATATCAGTTTGTACCAACCAAGGAAGAAGAGGAGGAAGAGTAGGAATTAAATAGTGGAACATTTTAAGAGCAAGGAAAAAGTGGGATGCCAAAGGGTTATTTGAGACTATCCCTGGCAAACTGGGACAATTGGAAGATATGTGCTTTCTTAAGAATAAACCTCATTAATATTCCATTTGACTGCTAGCTTGACATTGACATGCTGTGGAAATGTCAGTAGCTCTTGTGGCATCCTGACTTTTGCACACAAAAAATCCAGATGCCTGTTATATGTGCCTTATTGAATAAGGTGACATCCTATCCAATAGGAGCCCATGGTGGTGCAATGGGTTAAACCCTTTTGCCAGCAGAACTGATGACTGACAGGTCAGCGGTTTGAACCCAGGGAGAATGAATTGAGCTCCCTCTGTCAGCTCCAGCTTTCCATGTGGGGACATGAGAGAAGCCTCCCACAAGAAGGATAGTAAAGTATCAAACATCCGGACATCCCTTGGGCAACATCCTTGCAGACGGCCAATGCTCTCACATCAGAAGCAACTTGCAGTTCCTCAAGTCACTCCTGACATGGGAAAAAATGCCAATAATAGCTATGTCCAGAAGCTGGGGGGGGAGGGGCTAGAATTAAGTCCAAACTAGAAGGATGTGTGGTCTACTTGGTACAGGGACCAAACATTATCCCTAAATTGGGGAGTTTGCAGAAATTCCAATAATTTCTGCCAACATACCCCAAATATATTTATTTTGGGGATAAAAATGAATTTTATTGGTGGGTTGTTATAGGTTTTTCGGGCTGTATGGCCATGTTCTAGAAGCATTTGATTTTTTATTGAATTTTATTGGCTTTGTCAATTTTGGTGAAAGTAAATATTTTCCCTTTTCCAGACTTCTTAGGAAAAGAAACATGTTGCTTCAAGAACTTGCATATTTGAAAGCTTAGGGGAATTTGGAAGAAATAAATTGGGTATAATGGAATAATAGGCACTCAGAATCTCAGCTTTCTCACCTGCCCCTCCATCAGTGAAACCAGATATGTGCAATGTGTAACCATCTTCTTCTGCACTGATCGCATTTGGTGAGATGGAGAAGTCAGCGTATTTGGCAAAAGCTGTGTTGTTCTCAAAATCTTCCAGATCCACACGTAATTCATACTTCTGCTTGAGGGTCAGATGGTGGATGTTCTGCAATCCTAGGTCACAGGATGGAAAGGAACTATTCACGAGGTACTCAAATTCTACAGAAAAATCCCATTCTCTCAATCGCTTTAGGAGCTATGGTTTTGTCTGGCCCAACATCTGTTGACAGGGAAATGCTGGCCAGACAAAGAAACAAGAGGGATCTTGATTGTTTCCTTTGGCCCCAAATCACAGTAAACACAACGCACTTGAAAAATTCTAGGCCTAGGGACTTGTTTTAACAACTTAAAGTAGAAATCCAAACATCTGAGTGTTCCAGAATGTTCTGGGAGAGAAAGAAGTCTGGGTCAAGAGCCGAGGGGAATGGGATTAGAGAGTGGGCCAAGAAAAGAAGAAACAAGGTCCTTGAGTGCATAACGGCCAATATTCTGTGATGCAGAACACAGAGGAAATGTTCCACAGGTGGAACTATAATGTGTATCTCCTCTCAACATCCCACCCACCCCATGGGCTCATAACAATTTAGCTGGAAATCAGAGAAGCACTTGGCTACATCCTTATCCATTAAGGTCTTCTGGGGTCCTCTCAAACCATTGATAGATGATGTAATTATTTTGCATCTGGCTATAAAGGCTTGCTAGTCTGTGGCCAACCACTGAATGGCTACAAAATAAGACTATCATAGCAAAACATTCAGTCCTGGGATGTTTATTGGTAGAGAAGGAGAGAAAACCAACCGCTGCAACACCCCCCAAAAGACAGTCTTAGGTTAGCCTTAACCTTGCATACGCAACTGAGAGAATAAGAAGCAATATTCAGCTTGCTGAGAAAAGGAGATGATGAGCATTATTTCCCAGTATCCCAGTATCCGGGAACCTTGTTGTATTCCCAAGACGTTTTATCACATCTTGAATTCACATGGCACAATATTGAATTGTTGAAGTTTGTTCACATGACCTTTGGAAGATTCAACTAATTGTTTTGGAAAACATGAATATTATGTTTGTTACACCATTGTAAACAGTACTTATGTGTTTGTTTCTCATGCTTGTGTATTATACGAATTAGTTTGATATTCTCCTCATTATTCCAATTGGTATTTTTGCTGAAGTTTACAGCAATAGGACATTTATGTATTGACATTGTAATTACTGATATCTGTGTAGTTAGAGTCCATTGCTATTTACCCAGCCAATATTCTCCATCTGCTCTGCCAAAGCCCAATTTGTAGTCACTCCAGCCCCGAAAGAAACTGACCGAACCATTGAAACGCTTCTGGAAAACCTGGAGGACACAGCAGAAAAAATGAGTGAGTAGAAAGAGTGAGATGAGCTGTGTACTTGTCTTCTACATATAAATATTCCCAGGCATTGTTTCTTTCATCATTCTGAAAACCACAAATTCCCAAAACGGCAATGAAGTTACATGGTGAAGACTATACATTCAGATGAATTCTAAAACCCATTCTCTTTCCATTTACTCCCTACTATCCCCTTTATATGTAACAGTTTATTCCTTTATAGCTTATCATTCCTCACTGTAACAGATGTTGCAAATTGTCTTTAAAAACAAACAAAATAATTTAATGTGAAAATAAAGTAAGGAAACTTAATAAGCTAACATGACACCAAGCAAGAAAGGAATGACTGGATGATACAATGGACTTGATGAAGTGAGAGCAACAGTGTGCCTTAAATAGCTTTCTAGGAGTATTGCTGTATACATTGCACAAAAGGTTATTTCTGTTGCATAGTCTTGGAAGAAAGAGGCATTGAATAAACCCTTCTGGTGTGGATCTCAAGGATTGGAAGAATTCATATGAATGAAGGTGGTCATCCAGATGCCCTGTTTAAAGCTTTCTAGAGCAAAACCAACACTTGAAATCATATGGAAACAAAATCTAACATGGAAACAAGATCCCCTTACCCCACCCCATGCCAATGAAATACACTCTAAACCCAAGTTCCAGTTGGGGTGTGTGTGTGTGTGTGTGTGTGTGTGTGTGTCAGGAGCGACTTGAGAAACTTCAAGTCGCTTCTGGTATGAGAGAATTGGCCCTCTGCAAGGATGTTGCCCAGAGGACACCCGGGTGTTTTACCATCCTGTGGAAGGCTTCTCTCATGTCCCTGCATCAGAAGCTAGAGCTGACAGACAGGAACTCACCCCGCTCCCCAGTTTCGAACCACCGGCCTTTCAGTCAGCAGTCCTGCCGGCACAAAGGTTTAACCCATTGCGCCACCAGGAGCTCCAAGTTCTAGTAAGCAATCTGCTCATGATCTATATGGCTCACGTTCAAGCTATTTGAAGGACTATATTCTCTCATATGAACCAGTGTGTTTTGAGATCTGCTGGGGGAGCCCTTCTCTCTGTTCCATCAGATACAACTGGTGAGGACATGGGCAAGGGCCTTCTCCATGGTGTCCCAAGGTAGATTAAGACCTTGCAATTCCACCAGGCCTTGGGAAATGTTTTTAAAAGCTTAAGGAACTGGGTATGTTTAGCCTGGAGAAAAGAAGATCAAGAGGTGAAATGATAGTCATATCTAAATAATATTAATGAGAGAACAGAGATAGAGGGCACAGAATTCAGACTACCCATTAGAATTCAGACTGTCCCTCCATCTTGGGCCCATCTGAACATTTGGTCCAGCTCCATAATGGGAACTACAGGAATTCCTGTCTGATCTATCTATTATAATAGATGGATCATAATATTGCGGTATAGTGGTATAGTACAATATAGTAATATATAATACTAATATTGTGCTATGCTAATGAGATAATATATTGTATGTACATATAACTTGTAAGCTGCTCTGAGTCCCCTTCGGAGTGAGAGGGCGGGGTATAAATATAGTAAGTAAATAAATAAACAAATAAACAAGCAAACTCTGGATGCTAGTACAGCAATAAGATGGGCTTTACTCCACATAACAAACTGCCCCTTGCCCACATTACCGTCCATTTTCCATCGTCAGTTGTCATATCACAATACACAGGCACTGGGATATTGGGGCCTGCAGGGTAAATGAGGTACACGCCATCTGTTTCTGAACCTTGGTCATAAATATCTTCGCAGTCTAGTGGGACAGAATCTTCTCCACAGTGTTGCTGCTGAGCTGCCACAGCAAAAGAGAGAAACGATAGATGTTAAAAATCCACTAGTGTTCAATGTTAGAAATCACAGTTTCACCTAATAGCTGAACTGTACTGCATATTGCAGGATTGCTGAGATATTTTTCCTGTTTGTTTTAAACAGATAATTTATTAAAATAATCTTTAAAATATGGGTATGACATTTCAAGCATGCATCACACACAATCCTTAAATATAGACATTTTAACTGTGCTCCATATTCTTGGATTGATTGACATTTTTTAATAGAAAGTCTGCCATTGTCTATAATCTTGAGCACATCCATACCATAGAGTTATGGCACTGTGATGACTCCATCTTTGGGAACATTTGGATTTGTAGATCTGTACGGTGCTGCTAGAGAGTTTTACTTCAGGTAGTGCACTCAAGAATTCCAAGCACCTCATCAAACTTCAAATTCCAGGAGCTCACAGGATGGATGCATGAGAGATCTGGACCTCATCACATTAGGGCAAATTTGGCAGCATGCGCTGATTTGCCTTTCTTTTTATGACGGAGCCTGATGGATCCCATCCCACAATGCACTGCAACTTCTGGTGGGGATCCACTGTAAAAGGGAAGGTGAAGTAGTTGTAGTAGTGGTAGCTAGCTTCCCATGTTGCCTTGGAACAGTGGGGAGACGCTTCCTCCATAGAATGGGGACTCAGGTGAGTCGGACAATGGGGACTCAGGTGAGTTGGACAAATTCCCCATGCCCCTGGCTGGGCACCATCAGAATTGCCATGATCTGTGGTGATTCTGGTGGCTTGTTTGATGAGGTATAAAGTGGAATCTAATTGCTATCACTGTGCAATGTGAGTGCACTCCTGAAGTTCCTGGGGATGTGATACCACAGATGGCGAGTTCCAGGTGACAGAATTGATAGCACTTACCTTGGTCATTGATGGCTTGCCCTTGTGAAGTGGGTGTCTGGACAAGAAGAAGCAGGAGAATAGAGGCTAGCTGGAACAGAGAGCTCTGAGGGAACTACAAAGAAAGGGAATGGCCTGTCAAAACACTGCACACATGCACACATGCTCTTTGAAGTGTACAGAACTCAAAAGCAGCCAAGTCCAGACCTACCATTAGGCCAGGCATAGGCAAACTTTGAACCTCCAGTTGTTTTGGACTTCAACTCCCACAATTCCTAACAGCCGATAAGCTGACTGGGATTTCTGGGAGTTGGAGTCCAAAACATCCAGAGAGCTGAAGTTTGCCCATGCCCGCATTAAGCAAAATGAGGCAATAGGGATCGGGGGGCAAGAGGGGCAACCGCATGAGAATTCCGCTGTAGCCCTTTAACCTTTTCCCCTTGAAATAAAGCCTTTCCAGCACCCCAAAACTACTCTACTGCTCTTAGGTATGGTGGAGGATGCTATCTTATTGCTAGTGTTGAAACAAGTTATTACTCATTGTTATTGGGTCAGTTTTGTTCTTTGCCTTTCCCTGGCTCTGCTTCCCAGCAAGATTGGCCACAAAGGGGGTGATGTGGTTTATGTGTTGGACTAGAATCCCTACTTGTCCATGCAAAGATACCTTGGGAAGTCACACTCTCTCAGCCTTCAAGGAAGGCAAAGGTACCACCTCAATATAACCCTGTGAAAACAACTTGAAGGCAGATAATAACAGAGGAAGAAAGGAAAGCCATTACAAAGTGACCAAAGGAAGTAATTCAAAGGTTAGTCTGCTTACTACCTTATCTGAATTCACACCTTTGAGGCAACTTTGGCCACAACAAATATTTATTACTACAATCATACCCAAAAAGGCATTTTGGATTGGTGGCTGGGATAGAAAATTGAAATCAATGTCTATTTTCTCACAAGTTCCCATTCAGAATGGTTATCAATTGCCAAATCTGAATTATGAAGACCGTTTTCTCTTGCATGTCTCTGTATGTCTGTGTGTACATCTGTATCTTCAGATCACCTATTGGGTTATAGTGACCCCATGAATTTCAGAAGGCCTTCTAAACTAAGGAATACTCAGAAATGATTTTCCCAGTTCCTTCTTCTGAAATATAACCTACCGCACCTGGTATTCATTGACAATCTCCCAACAAAATAGTAACTTGCTTAGCTTAGCACTTTGAATCTCCTTTGTGGAGAGAAAAAATGAGGTATAAATAAACAGAAAAACAACAACAACAACAACAACAACTTTCAAAATCTGGTGGCTTTAGGGTATTTAGCTCATCTTTCCATTGCTCCATAAAATAATGACTGTAGCTCAGTGGAATTGTACCTTTGCTGCATACAGAGACCCTCCAATATTTTACAGGTGACAACCTGGATACATGTGTCCAAGCAATTCAGTCAAGTTCAATTATTAATGAAACTGGAAAAAGTGCAGTACTTTATTTTTCCCTGAGCCTGTGGAAAGAACCAAGTACATGACATGTCTCCTATACTGCAACATTGTATTGTGGCAGATCTCATTTGAAACAAATAATAGTAATAAGGACATTGTCCACTATTGCCAATTTTCTCATGGAGGAGCATTTGAAAATCATCCAGGGATTGACAGATTTCCCCAGAACACAGTTCAAACCTCTACCACTGCATATTCCATTGCTTTATTTGGACTTGAAATCTAATGTTGGCCTGCAGTCTGACATCGAACAAGAGCTCAGCACAAAGAAATTTTAACAGCCATGCCAGTCATTCCTGTAAGAACAGGTCTGTCTCCCTTCGGACAGAAACCCAAAAATGGATGTGCAAGAGTGCTTTTCCATATGCTCTGCGTTAAAATCGCTCAGCCTTAATTTTCATCTGGCTTGTTTTAAAGTGGTCTTTTGTTGTTGTAAGGAACTCCAAATCCCTCAAGTAGAAAAGAGAAGTGAGATGTTCTCTCTTGAGTTATCTTTATCTTTATATTACTGGTCGAGCGTTCAATGAAACACAGATGTCTTCTTATTTTTCTAAAAACACCACCACCCTGAGATCAGTAAATGCTGTAGGGCAGGTATTAGCAACCGTCGGCCCTCCAGGTGTTTTGGACTTCTACTCCCACAATTCCCAACAGCCAGTACCTGCCTCTATAGCAGGTATGGGCAAACTTCAGCCCTCCAGGTGTTTTGACTTCAACTCCCACAATTCCCAACAGCCAGTATCTGTCCCTATAGCAGATATGGGCAAACTTCGGCCCTCCAGGTGTTTTGGACTTCAACTCCCACAATTCCTAACAGTCAGTACCTGTCCCTATAGTAGGCTGTTAGGAATTGTGGAAGTTGAAGTCCAAAGGAGGACCGAAGTTTGCCCTGGAGGACCGAAGTTTGCCCATACCTTACCTGCTATAGGGACACAGATGTGTCCTTCAAGTCATCTGTTGACTTACTTAAGACAATGGTAATAGTGAACCCTCTGAATAAATTTTACCAAGAAAGCCATGTGATAGAGTCACAATGTGATAGAGTCACATCAACTCTGACATGGAGACATATAACAACAAAAAAATATATAGGATTTGTAAATGGTGTATTGTCATATCACCATGTGCTCCCCCATGTGATTGTCCTCACCTGTATCTGGTTAATGCAAGGCATGGGGCACTAGATTCCCTATGCCCCCGAACAAAGCGGAGTGATGTTGTGACAAAGTCCCAGATGAGGACAAGACTCCAGGGCAATAGCTCTTTTCATCTCTCATTCCATGTCCTAGTAACTGTTTTTTTAAAACCATCCTCCCTCTAACTTCTGAGATGGTATTCATCCATTATGACTAAGTTCTAAGTTCTCTTCCACTATATATAAAAAATAAGCACAGCAAGTCCATTTTCAAAACACATTGAAGCATCACCACCTGGCAGTAAATGCCATAGATTATCATCCATGTCATTTTTACAGGGATCACTAGGAAAACTCAATGAATTTTAGGACAGAGAGATAATGGCAAGGTTGAACAGATAGTATCATTTCCAAAGTATGCATTCACTGATCACCATCACCCTTATATGACAACCTTACCTTCATGTTGCCCTATGCTTTCTCCTTTGCAGATCTGGTTCCTGCAATTTATAAGTCTGGACAGATTTTGCTGGAGTAGATTTTTCTCCCACCTCACTCTCCTTCTCCCTTACTGCGCTTGGCCTACAGCAGCTGCAGGTTGCGTCTATTTAGTCCTCCCACTCCCACCTCCTATCCACCAACACCCCCAAGGCCAGGAATCAGAAACTATTTGTAAAGCCTGTTTTGATAGCCGAGAACAATGCAGCCATGGGATAGGAAGGGGATGGAAATTGTGTGTATAGTTTTGTTTTTTTCAAACACCAGTGAGACAGGAAATGAAAGTTGGGGAGAGGAGAGGGAAGTTCTGAATGAGCCAAAAACTTAGATGGTTTCCAGGTCTCTTGGCAGGATCATGTTATTGTTCACCCTTGCAAAAACGTGCAAGACATTCTCCCTCCCTCCCCAACTTTCATTTCTCACTCCCTTCATCTCCTTTTTCTGGGAGTCTGTTTCAAAATCTGGATGACCAAAAAAATGTAAATTAGGATACCCAGGCTCCACATAGAATATGTGAACAATGTCAGCTTTTATGGCCATACAGAGAGAGAGAGAGAGAGAGAGTCATATAATTCAACTGTTTTGATTTGGCAAGGACAGTCTCTGTCAATCCCACTTTTTCAACTCTTTTATAATGTCTATGTTTCTCTCCTTCCCAACTTTTCCTTTTGGCTTCAACTTAGTACAATTGCTTCAGGCTGAATTCAGATTGTACTTATATCAGTGTGGGGATAAGAGAGCAGGGATCATAAAAAATAAAAGAGATACAAATTCTAAAATCAAAAGGTGCTACACATCAGAATGACCAGTGAAAATACTGAGTGCTACGGCAGAGCTGCCAGGTAAAAGCAAAATGCTACATATTTGTTGGACCATGCAAGGAATCAGTGAGTGTGTGTGTTTGTGTATGTCAACTTTAAAATGATGTGTGCCGTCACACCCAGACCCTATGAAAATAAAACTAAGATGTGCTTCTCTCTTTGTCTGGGAGGACCGCGGGGGTCTTTCTTTAGAAGCTTGAGATTCCCAGCAACTGAGGCTACTACAGGTTTTGAACACTAAAACAAAATATTTATTTCTCAAAGTCCTTGCAGACTTGGCACAGCTGCTCAAAGTTACAAACAAAACAGTCAATTGGTGAAACCATAGAGATGATGTTTCTTTCTTTTTTCTTCAGTTACTGAGGTAACTCTTCCCCAAAAGGTAGAAAATATCCTGGGATCCTTTCACCCTAACCCTGAGCTGTTATGGTTAGAAAAACAGGTTTTTCCCTATCTATAGCTCAAGGTTAGCTTTGGAGATGAAGTACTGCTCAATAATATTCAATAACTTTTCTATATCTCAATTGCTATCTATAACTCAATTAGCTTCTTTATCTATATAACTCAATCACTCAATCAACTCAATCGTACTTACAATGATTTTTTCAGAGCTCTGTGACTGGCCTTACAGCACATCTGAAGCTTTCTTTCTCTACTGAAGGAGGCAGGGGAGATTCCAAAATGGAGATCTCATTCCCTGGAAAAAGGGCGGTCTCCTTACCCAAAGAGATACTTTTTAAACCAATAACTGCAGAGTGCCTTCAGTCTGGCTTTCAGACTCTGATACTGTTTAACTTCCAGTGTGCTGCTGGGTCTGTAGCAGCCCTGGGGAAATGCAAAAGAACACTATCCCATGCAACTAAAAGGTAAGGCAAACTATGCTCCTGGAAGATGGAACATGATATGAAGCTGATTGCTCAGGCAATGCCTTGAGGAGATAGCTGAGCCTGGGACTTTTGGATGCTGTTACATTTTTGTTCAGGCTTGAGCCAAGCAAGTACAGACAAAGAAGAAGAGAGAAGCAGTGAGAAACAGAGTTTAGAGTGTGCTCTTGCTTCACAAGCTACTGAAGGGGTTTATCCACATGGAGAAAGAACGACCATTTTAAATGTAACTGATTGCATGATTGTAAATATGTTGTTCTGATTCACAAAGTGTAAACTACTTGTTCTTTATTGTTCATCTGCATGGCATATTTTCTTTCTCTGGCAAGGCATATTTTCTTTCTCTGGCAAGGCAATGTGTGGGCTGATCCAACGTGAACTACACATGGTTTATTTTACATTATGCCACAATCTTCTCCTAGCTTGCCTGTTCTTTCTTATCATTAACTTTAACCTTCTTGACCACACTATGTTGTTATTTGGCTACATGCATCCTGACTTTCATCTTTGAAATGTTGGACATTATCTATTTCTATCTATCCCCTCTTTCTCTCTCAGGCTGGATCTATGCTGCCCTATAACCCATAATCTGGTCCCAGATTATCTATTTTATCTACTTTGAACTGGATTATATGAGTCTACACTGCCAGATAATCTGGGATAAGCAGATAATCTTGGATCAGATACTGGAATATAGGACAATGTAGATCCAGTGTCACTCTGACACACACATTCAGATCAGCTCTCTGTCCTCGGACTCCCTGCACCTGCATCTATGGCAGGCATCCTCAGAGGTTATGAGGTCAGTTGGAAACTAGGCATGTGGAGTTTATATATCTGTGGAATGTCCAGGTACCATAGATTGTTGTACATGGAAATAATGATAATAACAAGAAATTCTTGATAGGATTCACAGTTTGTCTGGTAATGCTGATTGTGATGACAACTACTGTACAGTATATAATAAATGTTCATTTTTTTTGTTCAGCAATAATAAATGTAAATTCTTCATGGAAAAATAAGACATTCCCTGAAAATAAGACTTAGAGCATCTTTGGGAGCAAAAAATAATATAAGGTACCTCTCTATCTACTTATCTGTCTATCTATCTATCTATTTTCCACAACCAAAACTTCTGAGCATTTCCAGTTTCTTTGGTTTTGCTGTTTCTGGCATTCTGTGCAGTCTCCTGCCAGGGGCAGAAAATTGGCCTGCAAACCTGACGGAGTTGCCCATCTCTGCTGAACACGGGGCCAGCTTTCATTACCACAGGACTTTCTGGCTCTGACACTATATGTAACTTTCCTCCCCTGCTTTCAGCTATGCAGTCTCCACTACACAGACACAGCCAGCATTCATAATCAGTGATTTGCTGGTTCACCCAAGGTCACTGAAGCCTGGATTCCTACCAGCAGGCCTTGTGCCTTTCTGTTCTACTCCAGTATCCTTTTTTGGTCCATGTATCAGAGCCAAATGAATCCAGCTGCCTTCATCCCCTCCATTTTTGCTCAGATGCTGCTGTCTGCAATCAGTACACCAAAGGCTACACTACATAGCTTGCCGAAGGTCCGAGGAATCTGGCATCTCTTCTCAGTTTCCATTTGGCTCCAAACATGAACAAGAGAGAGCTGAAAAGAGGAATAAATGAGGTCTGGAGAACACTAGAATTCCCAAGGTTCCAGGAACATTACACCTTTTCTCTTGGTGGGAGAGCTGCTATAATGTTTTCTGAAATGGCAATACATTGTTTACAATTAGTGTTTACAAGGCATTCTATTTTCACCCTGAGCCAGATATTAGAAATCACACCACTGAGTGTGGGTGAAGTAATCCTGCAGCCATCAACATGTTCTTGTGCTGCAGCTATCAGCGGTATATACGTATTATTAGCTATGTTGTCTAGGGGGAGCCAGTGTTGTATAGTGGATTGAACATTGTGCTATGAACTGTTAATTTTTTTTAGAACTTGAGAAACTGCAAGTCACTTCTGGTGTGTAAGGATGTTGCCCAGGGGGTGCCTGGATGCTTTACCATCCTTGTGGGAGGCTTCTCTCATGTCCCCAAATGGGGAGCTGGAGCTGACAGAGGGAGATCATCCATGCTCTCCCCGGATTCGAACCTCTGACCTGTCAGTCTTCCGTCCTGCTGGCACAAGGGTTTAATTCATTGCGCCACCGTAGGCTCCTGACTGTCACATGAGTCAGGTAAACTGTCATTGGCCTGGCCCGTCATCTTTGGTGGCAGTTCCTTTCAAGTGACATAGAGTGCATCCCACTATCAGTTTATCTACCGTTATTATTCTCCCATCCCTAGCTATTAACCAGTAATACATGTCAATAGCTTCCAATCCTGAAACATTCATATCACCTGCTTTGGTGAAATAGGTCCACTTCTGTTATCCACATGCTAGCAGTAACATGACATCAATGACTATGGGTTCTTCTACCCAGCCCTATAGCCCAGGATATCAAGGCAAGAAAACCCACAATATCTGCTTTGAACTGGGTTATCTGAGTCCACGCTGCCATATATTCCAGTTCTAAGCAGATATTGTGGGATTTCCTGTCTTGATATTCTGGGATATAGGGCTGTGTGGAAAGGCCCTATGATTCCCCTTCTTCCCCTTGTTTTCCCCAAATTAAGGAGCCACTATTGTGTAGGAAGGCACAGGGTGTGTGGAGGCAAGATCATGGAATGCTGAATCAGTGCAATTACGCTAGTAAAGAAAGGCGCAACATCAAAGGTATTCAACTCAGTAGGTATCTGTCATCAATGATAAAATGACTGCAGCAGAATAGCAGAATAGCTGTATGGCCATGTTCCAAAAGCATTCTCTCCAGGCCCGTAGCCAGGATTTCATTTTGGGGGGGGGGGGGGGGAATTTTTTCAGGGGGGTTGGGGGATTTCGATTGGGGGGGCGGCTGAGTCTGAGTGAAAGAGGGTCAGCCCTAGCAAACCTTTTGTATCATTACCCCAATACCCCCATGCATATGGGATATATTGAGTATGGTGATCAGATCATGATATGAATAAACATAACAGTTTAAATAATGCACCAGTAAGGCTTTTCGCGAACCACATGAGAATTTCGGGGGGCGGGCGGGACCCCCCCCCCCCCCCAGCTACATGCCTGATTCTCTCCCAACATTTTGCCCACAACTATGGCAGCCGTCCTCAGAGGTTGTGAGGTCTGTTGGAAACTAAGCAAGTTCAAAGCAGATATTGTGGGATTTTCTGCCTTGATATTCTAGGGGCCTTTCCACACAGCCCTATATCCCAGAATATCAAGGCAGAAAAATTCACAATATCTGCTGTGAACTGGGTTATCTGAGTCTACACTCAGATTATGTGGGATTTTCTGCCTTGATATTCTGGGATATAGGGTTGTGTGGAAGGGCCCTTAGTCTTAGTGGAAAGCAAAGTCTAAAAAAGCCTAATGATTACTTCATCTTAGGGAGCCCCCAGTGGTGCAGTGGGTGTGCCAGCAGGATTGAAGACCGACAGGTAGCAGGTTCGAATCTGGGAAGAGCATGGATGAGCTCCCTCTATCAGCTCCAGCTCCTCATGTGGGGACATGAGAGAAGTCTCCCACAAGGATGAGAAAACATCAAAAACATCCAGGCATCTCCTGGGCAACGTCCTTGCAGACAGCCAATTCTCTCACACCAGAAGTGAATTGCAATTTCTCAAGTCCCTCCTGACACGACCAAAAAAAAAAAATCTTAGGGTTGCCATGAAAGGACACAACAACATATGCTGGCTAGGGCTCAAGAGAAATGCAGTTTAGCCTTAATCATTTTGAAGGTCAGACGAAACAGGTATTTTGTGTTAGCAAGTGGAAGGAGGCTTCCAAAATGAAATGAAGTCCTGAAATAGGTAGCTGGTTTATTTGTTTTAAAAGTCATAGAGTACCTAAGAGTAAAGCTATAATACAATTCTTATGAAAATGAATACATTGAACTCGATTTCTATAAAATACATATATCAATCACAAGCCATTTTCTTTATCCTGTTGGAAAAAGGGTATACCAACATTTCTCAACCTGGGGGGTGGTTTCAGAGGGATCACCAAAGCCCAATGGAAAACATATATTTCTAATAGTCTTAGGAACCCCTTTGTCAGAGATGGCTGAGGATCTCTCTGCCTGTCCTTCTCTTCCTTTTTGGAAACAGATCTTCCCATCAAAAACCCTCCTCTGCTGTGATTGGCTGGCCTCTCAGCCAAGGGGAGGGCTGTTCCTGACTCCAAGCAGGGAGGAGAAAGCAGGCATGCTTGGTGCATGGCAGCGTGGTGCACATGTGCAGGCAAGGGAGAGCGTGTGAGGCTGGAGGGAGGCTCACACCAACAAGTCCCTTCAAGACTTGGGGTTTCTGTGTGGGAAGTTTGGCCCAATTCAATTGTTGATGGGGTTCAGAATGCTCTTTGATTGTAGGTGAATAATAAATCCCAGCAACTACAACTCCCAAATGCCAAGGTCCATTCTCCCTAAACTCCACCAGTGTTCACATTTGGGCATATTGAGTATTAGTGCCAAGTTTGGTTCAGATCCATCCTTGTTTGAGTCCACAGTGCTCTCTGGATGTAGGTGAACTACAACTTCAGAACTCAAGGTCAATGCCCCCCATGGGGGTTCTGTGTGGGAAGTTTGGCCTAATTCCATCATTGGTGGAGTTCAAAATGCTTTTTGATTGTAGGTGAATTATAAAGCCCAGCAACAACAACTCCCAAATGACAAAATCAATCTCCCTTCCCCCAACCTCACCAGTATTCAGTATGTGTGCCAAATTTGGTCCAGTGAATGAAAATACATTCTATATATCAGATATTTACATTACGATTCATAACAGTAGCAATGAAAACAATTTTATGTATGATTGTGAGTCACCACAGCATGAGGAACTGTATTAAGGGATTGCAGCATTAGGAAGGTTGAGAAACACTAGCCTATACATTCCTCATATACACAATTATATAATTATGTTTGTCAGAATTGTACCAATAATGGGTTAATGCATGTAGACATGTGTGTCTAATGCCTATTGATATGTGACTTGAGGAAGGAATATATTGCCACAGAGTTGCCTGCAGCTGTGTATGTGTAGGGTTATAATTCTTCATCAAGTGCATTCTTGTAAGAACAAGTGATTTCATTAATTTTGCTATTCTTTTCTACCAGCCACAAGAAAGTCCTCAAAACCTGTGCCATTCTGAGCACTATTTGCACAGGCTTTTCACAAAAAATGCCACGTCCTGAGCAAACAAACATACAAGAATGTGCATTATTTATACTGAGAAGGTGGGTTCTCCAGAAATCTCCCCATCAAGAGTTTGCCAACACTTAGAAAACCCATTGTTGTCTATTATTCAGTTTTTATATCTTTTTTTATAACTATGCATGTGAAAATCAATTTTCTATTTTCAGAGGACAATCATCCTCTTGAATGTAGCCTCAATTTGAAGGGCAGTGAGTGGGCAATCTCTGTGGTCTCAGGCAGAGGTCTCAGTGCTTGGAAAGATTAACTTTTGGGTTGGCTGTGGGTTTCTAATTTGAAAAAGTCACTTTTCCAAGCTCAGCTTTTTCCCATCACTTGGTACCCAAGTGTCTTCTCAATTGATATGTCAGAGTTTGAAGTTGGGCCCATCTACAATGCTGCTCATATTACCATTGCTTTCAAAAATTAAGATGTCATAAACTAAACTTGGAATTTTCTGCATGCAGACAATTGGTTCTCCCACTGAACTATTGCCTCCCTCTTGTTCCCTGGCAAAAGCACATGCAGTTGCTTTGTTCTCTCCAGAATCTAATTCATTGTTGGCCGTCAACCAAAAACTACACTAGCTGGTTTTGCAAGTCTTGCTTTCCATATCATGAATTGGAATTGAGCAAACGTGCTTAGCTTTTGCAAAGCTTGATGAGATCTTAATTGGCAATAAAGTTGTTTAGAAAGCCTTCAACAAAGATATAAACATGAGATGAAACCAAGCGGAACATCAACAGACCTGGAGGAGGTAGATTAGATGCAAAAGAGTTAGGGAGGTAGATGACCTTAACAGCTATAGAGAACTGTAAGGAACAACCAAAAGGCTCCTCCCTTGTATGTTCATTGGTTTCATTACACATGTTTATCTTCCTTAACCTGCAATAACACCAATGCAGAGAACATGAGTGTCTATCTATTTGAGAATGTATACCAGGCATGGGCAAACTTCCGCCCTCCAGATGTTTTGGACTTCAACTCCCTTAATTCCTAAGAGCCTACCATACTATGTACTCAGAGCGCACCATGAACCCAAACAATGATGGGTCTGGACCAAACTTGCCATGCATACCTGATATGCCCAAATTTGAATACTGGTGGGGGGGGGGGTGCAGGGGGGATTGGCATGGACATTTTGGAGTTATAGATACAGTAGAGTTTCACTTATTCAACCTTCACTCATCCAACGTTTTGTATTAGCCAACGCAGTCTGCCTTCTGCCCGGAATAATGTCCAGGGTGGGAGGAAGAAAGTGCTAAATTCGTAAATACATTGGTGCTAAATTTGTAAATACATTAATTACGACATGAAGTTACTGTGTATTGAACTGCTTTTCTGTTATTTATTTATTTATTTGTCATGTCAGAGCAACCAGTCCATTATATTACATTTCTAACAGAACAAAGCAAACAAACAGACAAAATACAAAACTTGTGAGTTTGGTAGTTGGTTAAATGTCCTTTGACCAGTATCTGGCCACTTGGAGTGCTTCTGGTGTTGCTGCAAGAAGGTCCTCCATTGTGCATGTGGCAGGGCTCAGGTTGCAATACAGCAGGTGGTCAGTAGTTTGCTCTTCTCCACACTCGCATGTCGAGGATTCCACTTTGTAGCCCCATTTCTTAAGGTTGGCTCTGCATCTCGTGGTGCCAGAGCGCAGTCTGTTCAGTGCCTTCCAGGTCGCCCAATCCTCTGTGTGCCCAGGAGGGAGTCTCTCATTTGGTATCAGCCATTGATTGAGGTTCTGGGTTTGAGCCTGCCACTTTTGGACTCTCGCTTGCTGAGGTGTTCCAGCGAGTGTCTCTGTAGATCTTAGAAAACTATTTCTAGATTTAAGTTAATGAAGAAGAACACATCTGATTCTTTCATTTTGAAAATGCTGCACTTTGACTCATCACACCACTGAAGGCTGGCTAATCCCATTCCATTTGAATGCCTCCCTACATGCTTTGTAAAAGTTTTCTAATATTGCACATCCTGGAAGTCTCAAACTGCTATTCTCATGAGATTTTAGCTGATGAAATGCACACTGATTTTATGACGACACATAACAACAGTGCCTCAGAACTGTATTAAGTCAAAATACACAATTAGAATCCCATGTGCAATTACTCCTTTTCTGCAGTGTTTTGCAGATAGATTCAAACAGATTACTGATGGAATAGAACAAATGTCATGTTATAGAACCCGTTCGGAATCACGTTCAGAGTCTCAGGAACGGAATAGATCTCAATGTGATAAGTTTCTTAGCTGAATGCAAGCTACTTTTTACACTTTGAGCTCAGTGTATAGCCACTGAAGTAAGCTGAGGATAAAGGGGAGAGTGGGAGGAAGAGGAAGAAGCTGGGACATGTCTAAAGTAAGATAACAGTGAATTAAATGGATTTGTCCCTGACAAAGCAGGATGATTAAAGGATATGAGGAAATCAGCACAGTGACAAGAACCACAACCATGTAGATGCTCTTTCGCAGCTGCCTATTTGTTTCCTAAATAACATATTAAGGAAAGAGAAAAGAAAATGTTTTAATTAAAAGAAACTGTAAATGCAAGCTTTTAAGAGCTCCAGTTTAAGAAAAACCATGCCTTTTATGAACCCACATTTAAGAGGATACCTGGACATTTGTGACTTTTCTAAATTCTCTGCAAGTTGCTGATACTATGGCTTTTGGGGCTTTCCCCCATTCCTTCAGATATATACATACAAAAATATTTTGCTCATTTTTGAAATCTCTCACTTAAAATTAATCAAACATTTTAAATAGAGGCTGGATGGCCATCTGTCGGGGCGCGGGGGTGATTCGAATCTGATTTTCCTGCTTCTCGGCAGGAGGTTGGGCTGGATAGCCCACAAGATATCTTCCAACTCTATGATTCTAAAAATATAGATGTACTTTCAGATATATTCAGTGAAGTCATGTTTGAAAACCTTAAACTTGTGTAACATATACTACACAGTATCAGTGTACATTCAGAACTGATAAAAAAAATGGTCGGCATTCCATCCCCTCATTTCTCTCCCATTTCAAATCATTTTCTACATTTGCAGAATTTATGTTGCAATGAGTTGGCTTGTCTTCCATGCCAGTTCTTGAAATGTCTCTCTTACAACAGGAAAAAACTACTCGGTTTATATTTTCCAACAATAAATATAAAGATCCTTTTGCCCCAGAAGAGGAGATGATGAAAGCCAGGGTGTGTCATACAGTTGGTGTCAAAGAAGGCTTGGGATGCCTTTCTCTTCCACATTATGGTTGTTACAAAAAAGTTTCCCCATTGTGCCTTGGTTACATGAGAATCAATAGACAAATTGAGAATATCAAAAGACTGACAGTGAGCGGAGAGGCATAGCCCGGCAAGTGGACTCCAGGATGCTTTTGGGCTCTGTTTTCTTTTTGCCAGTCACGTGGTGTGGGGTCACTTGGTTCTTTGACAAATTGAAGTTCCGGGATATAGCTGTGGATCCAGTTCTCATAGTATGTAAGCCGGCTGTATACTCCAGGACGGTTCTTGATAGCGCATCCTTCACCCCAGCTGACGATGCCAGCCAAGACCCATGACTGGCCAATCAGACATACCATGGGACCTCCAGAATCACCCTGCAAACCAAGAAGGCAAACAATGTGTGATGGGAAAAGGCATGTGCTAATTGACCTTATAAATGGCCAATACAACTGGCCTGGGATTGGGATTATAATGTCCACTTCATGAGTTTGAAACTCTGAGAAAACCTGGTTCACACCTTGAGTTGACTTAGACCCTAGGCTTGGGTAACCATGGAAAAATTTGGTTCTAAACG